GAACTTGGAATAACTGGTCCCTCCGGCGGTGTTTCCCTCATTGCTTTAAGACATAGACCAGCTGACGCCTGTGCACATCCCGTGTGCCATGAAAGACAAACCTTGGGGGAAATGGACCAGAGTCCTGGAAAGCCTCCCGGCCGAGGCTCGTCTCCCAACTAGGAAAGCAAAACCAAGCAATAGCAAAGCAAAACCCAAAACCGAAACCCAGGTTCAGGCGCGAATAAGGAGGTGTCAGCTCTCCTTTACAGCCGGTGTGGGGTGGGGACATCGTCCTACGGCCCCTTGCCCGACTCTTGCCCAGGCTTTTGCAACAGCATACAGTTGCGCCGCCCTGTTCGGCACGGCCCGGGCGTCTGTGGCTCTCCAACGACCGCGAAGAGGAACCTGGGAGGTTGAGAGTCTCCGGAAATGTTCGCAATGACAGTGGGCAGGTGCAGGGGCAGGTGCAGTGGCCGGTGCAGCGGGGCGTCTTAAGAAAATTAAAAGGCCGTTTATGGAAAATTAGATCAAGACTGTGATTTGTCAGGGAATCTGTTTTGAAAGGTGACATAGTTATTGGCAGTTTATCAGTTCCTGGCACCAAAAAAAAAAAAAAAAAAAAGGCAAATCACTGAAATCCTCCTTAAAAGACTGAGGCCCATATTATGACATCTTTTAATTGGCAGAAATTTAAAAACGAACACCACCGGCGGGGCGGTCGCCGCTCGCGGCGCGGGTCTCCACACGCCCCTGCGGCTCCCGGGTCCCCAGTGGGCCCTCGGCGCGCCGCGCCCCGCACACCTGCTCCCCGCCCAGGTGCGCCGTCAGCTCGGCGGGCCCCGCAGGTCTGCGGGTGCAGACAGCCGCGCACAGACGCGGGCGTGAGCTCCTCCCGGGCGCCAGCCTCACCCTCCGCATCCAGGCAGCAGGCGGGCGGGCGGGCGCATCTTCCCTGGGCTCGGGCCGCGATCACATGGATGCCGGGCTGCCCTTCCCTGCCTGCGAGCCGGGCGGGCCAGCGCGCGGCGCGGAGGCGAGCGGGGACCCCTCCCCTGCCCTGGCCGCGGGCGCGCTCTGCAGTCTTAAAGAAGCAGCAGGGAAGCCCCGGTGCGGTGCTCGGTGCTCGGTGCTCGGTCTAGGATCCGCAGGCTCACCCCGGATTCAATCAGGAAAATCAAAAAGTGGGAGGGTCTGCTGCTGCCTTTGCTCTGGAGCATTCATTGAAAACTGGCTTTACGTCATTGGTTGCATCTATTTTCCAAAAGGCTGAAGTGTTCTGTTGCGCTCGTAAGCATGCTACCTTTAAGACAGGTGGTCAAAATAGGTTGCACCGAACACTTTTTCCTTTTCAGCTTGCGTGAGCACCCAGCGTTGGTCCTCATCCCCACGATGGCCGTATGGCGTAGGTATGGGAGGGTCAGGCTCGTTTCCCAGAGCACACAGATTTGGAGAAAGGCGACCCCGTTCAGATGAAACAAGTGTTGATGAGCAGAACTCACTGTTCCCCCCTGCAGGGCAGTGTCCCCTGGCTCTTGTTGTATGCCACGGCTGGCCCACACTGACCCCACGTGCCTTAAAGCCTTTTAGGACATATTCCCCAAATTCTTTACAGATTAATCCATAAGGGCCTAAATATATAAAATACATTGTAGAAGATAAGGGATTCCCAGTTAACCATGGAGAGGTGCACAAAAGGCCCTCTCAGCAACTTCGCTCAGATGACAGTAAAAGAATTAAGAGTCCAAAAGGATGAAGAAAATGGACAGGAGGTGACCACAGCCCAAAGATGCCAACAGAATTTGGAAATCGTGGAAGGGGCAGTTGCCTGCTAACTGGCTAGGGGGAGGTGGGTGCTGAAACCGTTGCCGGTGGGGAAAATTCCAGCGAGAGGTGAGGTCATTGGGCTGGACTTCCCCCTCCCCCAGAATAGCTCAAGACCTGTAGGCACCAGGTAATCTGAGGGGGTGTCTAAGGAGCAGGCCTATCTCGGATACCCCTGCCCCAGGTATCTTGATGTGGGGTGTCTGTCAGATCCTGGCAGGAGACTTAGAAAAGCTCCTGTGAGTATCTGGAACCCATGGACAGGGTGGATTATCACTCTAGAAAAAAGGGAAAAAGGAATCAAGTGAAACTATATGAATTGAGATATCTGTACTTCTGTTTGAATATGTGGGACTAATTAGTGATAGTTATGTTGAAAACAAAGCAAATGAAAGAAATGAGGCACCTATTAACTTCAGGAATAAGAAAATTTGTACAAGAAAGGAAACATAACCATAGGACTCTACTGGCTCAACAGTGACTAATATTTGCACAGTGATCATGTAAACACTGAAACTAAATTAACCACAGGTTATTACAGGAAGCAAGAAGAGGAGGTGTCTCCTTACATGGAAGAGGGAGGAGGAATAAGAGAACTACAATTCCACTATCCAGAGTAGAAAGCCAATAGGTAACTTTTTTCAACTCAACAAAATGAAAGAATTATGGTGTGAACAGATTATTGAAAAATATGGAAGTAACTACCCAAAAGATTTGAAAATTGGAAATACCTATTTCTGGGGAGTGTAAAAGTTTGGGGTGGCGGGGGGCTGAGTAATATATATACTTTTTACTCCAGGAATGCTGGAGTTAAATGGCATTTAAAAATGCACACAAGGGCTGGGCGCGGTAGCTCACGCCTGTAATCCTAGCTCTTGGGAGGCCGAGGCGGGCGGATTGCTCAAGGTCAGGAGTTCAAAACCAGCCTGAGCAAGAGCGAGACCCCGTCTCTACTATAAATAGAAAGAAATTAATTGGCCAACTTATATATATATATAAAAAAAATTAGCCGGGCATGGTGGCGCATGCCTGTAGTCCCAGCTACTCGGGAGGCTGAGGCAGAAGGATCGCTCGAGCCCAGGAGTTTGAGGTTGCTGTGAGCTAGGCTGACGCCACGGCACTCACACTAGCCTGGACAACAAACCGAGACTCTGTCTCAAAAAAAAAAAAATGCACACAAGAAGTAAATGGCATGAATGCAGGGTGGTGTTCTTGGGAGGCTGATGGATGACCAGGGTGAGCTTTCCTGTCCCAGGGTCTGGGCACACTGGCCAAACCCAGGCTGGTCCTGTGTGTGGTTGGGCACCACCTGGTGGCAGAAGTCTGCCCAGGCGTACCTTTGGGCAGGGCTGGCTCCAGCCCTTGCAGTTGCCCGGAACATCCAGGAAAGTGGTGGCAATTACTGGATTCTTCTGGTCGCCGGGCACCTGTTTCAGGGCACTTGGTCCGAAGAAAGTGAACTGAGAGAATGCTGGCAGAAAGGGGACTCAGCCTTTGTCTTCCACTTTTTGAAATTGGGTCTCCTGCCATTTCCCCTCCTGGTCTGTGCCTTTCTCTCCAAGTCTTTCCTGTCCCCTGGGCAGAGGACCAGGGCTGACCGCCAATTTATATCTGGATGTAATAGAATCACTTTTTATTGATAGCATATTATAGGAGGATTATTGTTTTTAAACAATCATAGTACCTGTATTACTTTAAAAAATAATAAAGGTAAGGGGCAAGATTCTCGTAAGCCAGAAGCGATGTTTAAATATCTGAGGAAAAGGTACCACCAACCTAAACGCAGTCTGACCACCATCCCGCACGGCGCAAGGGTAGAGTGAACACAAGTGAGACTGCCAAAGTGTCCCCTTCCATGAAGTCTCTCCTAATTCCCTTTCCTACTTTCCGGAAGCTTTCAGCTAAATTTTTTTAGTTAAAATAAAAAGAAGAAAAAAAAAGTTGACAACACATTTCAAATTGTATGAGTTTTTTGTGATTAGTGCATAATAATTTTTTCCTTACTGGGGCGAAAAAACAACTTTCCTGTCCTTTTTATTTTTTCCTGGCTCATTGTTGTTGCAATTTGCATTCAATCATTGAGTGAAATTTGAAAAACGGCCTCATTGTCCATAAATGCCTTTGATGGCCTTCAGGACAGTTTTAGAGTCACATCTCATCCAGCTCTTCTTGAGTGTCCCACTCTACCTGCACTTTCCTCTGGGACCCTCTTGTCTTGGATTTTAAGCATTTGAGTTGACCTCTCTGGACAGACTCCAAGCCCTTCCTTGCTCTCTTGGGCTGCAGATCCCAATGTGGGCTCGGGAAGCTCTGGCTACGGTTGGCAAAGGATGACTTGTCATGTCAGTGCCACAGACTCACACCTGCTGGAGGCCTCCCAGTAAGAAATCATGGGCACCTGGGCAAGCTCTGGGTTACACAGTGGCCCAGTGACTGCCTGCCCCCACCCCCTACTCATACCCTTTTCTGGTGTTGCATCTACAATGCCAATACTAGCAAAATTAAAATATTTAAACAAATGGGGCATTTTACAATGTCATTGAATTTAATGTTTTCTTCTTGGTCCTGTCCAATCATTTTGTATGGGAAGACACGTTAACAATATAATTTTTTATTTCATTGTTGGTAAAATTTAGTATTTTTGAAATCAGGTTTTTTCTTTTTTCTTTATTTTTCTTTTGCTTTTTTTTTTTTAGATATATGTATACTTCTTCCACCTCTTTTCAAGATCTTTTCTCTATTTCATGTATAAAATTATACATCACAGATTTTTTAAAGTCATGTCATTCAGAGCCAAGAAAGAATTTGAGGATCCTCCTGCTCAGTGAGGTCCCTGGAGACCCAGGGGGTCCAGGGCTGGCTGGAGATCCTGGCACAGTTGGCTCGGAGCCTGGCCACAGCCCACCGCCCCAAATGTCCAGGCTGGTCTCGCTAGCCGGGCGCAGCAGTGCCTTACCCAGGAAATGCACCCGCACCCTCTTGTCATCGAGAGCCCAGGCTCGGGGCTGAGAGGGTTGGGTTTGAATCTCATTCTACCACCCGTAATTATGCGATTTGGGCCACGTTACTTAGCTTCTCCAGGCCTTGGTTGCCTCATCTACGGAATAATAATAGTACCTACTTCACAGAGGTGCTTCAGAGATTCAAGATCATATTTCGGCGCCCTTCCAAATACTTTCCCAACAATGCAGTGATACCTGGAATTTCTTAATCAGCATTTCAGTTCTGCAGATCGAACTTCTGCTTGCTGGTCAGTTGCAATTATGCCTGGACGGGGCTGCAGGTTACACCTCCTTAATCACGTGCACTGACTCACATAAAAGAAGGACTTTAGAGACTTAAATTCTGAGTGAATCAAAAAAAAAAAAAAAAAAAAAAAAATTTCTCCTTGTGGTTCTAATGTGAAGACAGGTTTGAAAACCTAAACAAAAAAAAGAGGCCAGGAAGATAGCTGAGGGAAACAAAAAAAAGAGGCCAGGAAGATAGCTGAGGGAAACAAAAAAAAGAAGCCAGGAAGA